GAATCAATATCGTTTATGAGTTAATGAGTCGTTTTACTCAAAATACCGATTAGTTGCAAGAAAAATAACAAAATTAGTTGGAAAGTCAGATAAGTACCTATTTACTAAAGGTAATACAGTTGTACCTACTAGTTATACATGTGTTAAAAAATAATTTTAATTTATCATTTGAACTTAAACTTGTCAACAAATGATTTCAATAACAAGTAACAACTATAGTAGCTACCTCTTACCGCACATCAATTATTTAGTAGCACGGTTGTTAAAAATATATAATATACACAATTAATAATCTCAAACATAATAATATTATAGAGCTATGATTCGTGGCAAACCACATCCCTAGTTAATAATAATAACAATAATATAAATATAATATAATGTAATATCGCAAATCCTAATATTATACTATCTGCTCGGTCGACGGTCCCGCTACATAGGTAATCAAAACTAACAAAATAACGTATTATTATTATTGTTATGAAATTCAACAGTTCAAAACTGAAAATTGTCATATTATATTTTTCCTGGGTGTGACCATCTAAATACTTTGAAGTTTGAATGTAACAATAATTACCAATAATTACGTGCGTCAGTCATATTATAGTATTATTATATCATATTAAATCAGTAGCGTGACTTGTATATTATTATTATTTATTGGGTTCTACGACTTCTACGAGTGCGGTGCAACACTCAGAGCAACACGCTATATTAAAATATACAATCACTCGCGATTCGTAAAATCATTTACATAATAGGCAGTGGTGTATTGGTGAACAAATTTTTGGGTATACGCACTTTAAGCTATATTTTATTGCAAAAAAAGAAATTTTCTCGCTACGCTCGAAATATTACTTACATAATACATTACAAGCTACATTAAACAATTTGTACTATAATCTTCGCTTTTTCTATTTTTATACACAGTATTTTAGTTTGTATGTTAATTGTTAATATACTTTTAACTATTATTCAAATACTCACTCAATAGATAAAATTGTATTTTATTTATTAATAAAATTTTTGATTTTAAAATGGTGATGTCTTTCACAAATTAATCATATATCTAAAAAGTAGCAAATTCTAGACAAATATTAACAGCTGATTGGTAACTTAATTTATTAATAAAAAAATTTATAACAAATACAACTTTAAATAATTTATTACTAGTTAGTAGTTACTATAATATTTTCCACAAACTTATTTTTTCTTCTTGGACTTTAAACTGTTTTGGATTAATAGTAATTAATTTAGTGTTTGTTGAAAGTTGAATATTTTTAAATACCATAACTTCTTTAAGTTTAGAAACTTCAGACATATGTTCTCCCGGAGTAACTTTAAATGATTCTATAATCCTTATCGTTCTTTTAATGTGCTTTTGGCCTTGAATAAGTGTAGTTGTACGTTCTTGTAATTGATTAGATAGTATAGATAGTTCTTGTAGACAATCACACATCAAACCCAGGTCTGATACAAATTCTGGACTTGCCAATCTTTTTTTTAGGCCAAGATATTTGTTTCTAGTTTTAGAATTTTTAGTTGAATCATTTGCAGCATTACAAAAATAATTACACAAAGCTGGAAATGTTTTCCATACAGCATTAATGGCCCTCCAGCTACTGGCCACCCAACGGACATCAAGAACTCTACCCAGTTTCAAAAATAAAATATCTAATTCATTACACACATTTCTGAGTTCATTTTGATTCTTAGGAGAAGCGTTGTATAAGACGTATAAAGAATCAATGAAAGATTTAAAGTGGTTTAAAGCACCTATGTCTTTTATTGAGTCATGAACTGCCAGTTCTAAACGATGGTTTAGGCAGTGCAACAAAACCAGTAGGCAGTTGTAATCATACCGCATAGTTTTATTTATAAATAATCGTTTATCTATAATCGTGGTCACGGTCATCTTCTAAGACCGTGATCGTGGTAATAATGCCATATTGTATACAAAAAATATTCTCGATTAAGTTGTGATATCAACAAAAATATTCAATAATAAAATTAAAAATATATTATCAATATTGCATATTTTATCAGTATACGCTCCTATACGGGCGTATACCTGCGTATTGTGTATATTTTAAGCTAGCTATACGCTCTGATCGACAAATACGTTTTGGGTATACGCCGTATACCCCCGTATACCCTCCAATACACCACTGATAATAGGTACCGGTTGATTAGTGATTATTTGAACAGTTAGCGGAAAAGTCGTGTGGAAAAGTATGAACTTGTTTATAACCATTTTTCCGATGAGAATTTATAATATTACCCATGTCAAAAATTAAAATCAACATATTAATTATTGTATTCTTCTATTTTTCTAAATACTTTTCACGAGTTTATCAGTGTACATACTGTTGAAAGAATCATGTTGTATAATATGCTCGTGAATTGACACATGGTGTAAGTTGCATCGGCTAATGCGCATTCGTATTAATAAATGAGGTTTTGTAATTATTTATGACCCATATAATATGAATAATAATATGATGATCCTATAATATAGTCTATATACTATTTAGGAATTAGGAATATCAATTATCATCAGCTACAGTTTTTTTATTTTGCTGCGATAGGTATAGAGTATAAATTCTATACTCAGTAGCTGACGATAGTCGTATATTTAGATGGTATAAATGTGTCTTTATTTTATTTTAATTAATTCATAACATCACATACCTAATATTGTCTTAATTGTATATGGATGCCAACCATCTAGACGGATGTAATACCTGTACAATAACACGTACGAGTGTCGAGTATATTATAATAATTAATAAGTTATAGGTATATGATGGTGTATAAAATGTATATTTACCATAGTCACGTAGTCTTAAAAAGTTATAATGTAGCAGTGTACGAATTCCTATTTGAACACTTTTTATGTAGGCATTCGAACATTTTTTTGAATATATCTGAGATGAACTATGAAGTAGGTCATAACTCATAAGTATTTATATTATACGTAGTTTGCATGGGTTTTTTTGTATTTGTTATTCATGTGAAAAATACTGCATAACATTGATATTATAATTAGTATGTGTAAAAAAAACCGTTTGTAACTGAAAATATACATTTAAATTTTGTTTTTAATATATTAAAGCTAAATTTTTAAAAAATAAAAATAAAAATGTAAGATACTTTTTTTAGTAACATTATTTTTAAACATAAATACATTTTATAGTTTCGAATAGCTTATTTATTTTCAAAACTGTTTTTATTAATTATTGTACTCGTCTGAAGTTGTTCAACGTGCCCCCCACAAGTAACCCTCACTAGTCATAATATCAACCCGATATTCCAGTTCATCTCACACCCTTTCAAACATATCGGGAGAGACAGTTTGAAATGCAACCACTAACCTCGTTTTCTATAACCAATAACCATCAAGTTATTAGATTTATCACTATTGACTTTTCCGCTTACGTAAAATTTAGCATTGTCACTAAAGATGATCCCCAAACAGAACTGTTCAACAGTCTTTAAGCCTTGAGGATGGTATCTGCGTAACTTGAAAGCCTCGAAACACCAATTAGCGTGTCTTATTATATCATTTATATCCTCGTCGAAGCACCTGAATTTGGTGCGGGAACAAGTGCAGGGGATCACATTGAATGAATAACAATTTTGGGAACACCCGATAAAGTACCTAATAAAAACTGTTTTTGGATTTATAGATTTTACCGTAAAGCTCCAAAATTATGTTTGTTACAACCTGCATACGAATAAATAATTATAAATTACTTATAGACATTGGCGAAGCTAAGGATTTTATATGGGGGGGGGGGGCTAAGTTCTACTAAAAACTCTCCATTAAACTTTCCTTCACTTACACTTTTTATAAAATCATTTTTTTAAACATAAATATAATTATATAGGCAAAAATAAACACGGTCAATAGGGGCTATAGCTATATACCTCTTAGCCCCCTTGGCTACGCTTCTGCTTATTATTATAGGGATCTTGTATCGCATAAGTGACATAACCATGATAATTTATATTTGATGAGTAAATAAGAGTATATTCAACTTTTAAGGTAACGAATTATTTCGACTGAATGTGACCTTGCACTTAGTTCGAGTTATTTTCGTTGGATAGAAGACGTTAAATAAATACGCATTTGAATAAATATTCTAATTACTTTTTTTTTGTGATTTTTATTCAAATTCAAATAATAGAAATATTTGTCGATGAAAATAAATACAAAATTAATTGTGTGAAAACACTGTTATATACGTTTATTAACACTGTAGTAGATGTATATACAATATACATATAAATATTAAAATATATATAATACAGTACCAAATTCACAGTATACAATTTAGTAATGATAATTTTACAATAATATTAAACATTATATTTCTCGTAAATACGAACTATTTGAGGAATTTAAATGGGAAAAAAAAAAATATAAATAATGAGAATAATTATTAAATTAGGTAGGTAACTTAAAGTATGAGTTTAATTAATTCATACTAATCGTCCATAGTATTGTAATTTCCATACTATAGGTTTTTACTTTGTGTTTTAAAAATATTTCACTAGCATATTTATTTGCCTATTTAGTTCATGATACATGATAGATATGGTTGTTAGGTACCTATTAAAAATAGTTATAAAATTTTTCTTAAACAATATTGTTGGGGCGTCAAGCTCAAATCAATAGATAATATTATAATTATTACTTATTAGGAATAGGTAGGTACGTATATTACTATATTATGTTTAGTCTCTACAAACATTGAAATTGATTACCTATCTGATATGACATGTTAAGTATAATAACATCAGATAAACAAAATATGTAATATTTGAATAGTTATAGACTATATACTATATAGTGATTAATTAAAGTTATACAAGAATGGAGTATAAAGTGTCCAGCAGTATCGTATATCGTATATTATAATGTATACAATATATACAGAATCAATATAAAAATATTTTTTAATAAATTATAGTAGGTATAGGTATATTACATTATACTATAAGTCTTTGTCCAACAATTCCTTTAAATCGTTAATTAAGATTTGCACGGTTTCGGTTAATTCGGAAACTGCAGGATTAATAAAAATTGAATCTAAAAATACAGAATTTGAAAAAAAATCAAAAATTTTGTCTACCCTGGACAGTGTTTTATCTGTGAGATGTCTTTTGGTTAGTTCTTTTAGTATTTCTCTACACTTAAATAAATAATTTATTAGATAATTTTTGTCATAACTGAATTCTATTTCATAAAAACTTACTGCAATCATAGTTAATTCTCTAAATTTATCTTTAAAATTATTTGCTAATTCCAATTCATTACTGTCAAATTGATCATTTCTATATAAAATACTTAATTTAACGATTATTTTGATTATATTTTTCGTCAACTTCTCGGATTCTTTCTTGTTTCCAGTCTGAAAAAGACAAACAATAATAAGTAGAATTATAGTTGTAAAAAATTCTTCGTACGTTGGATTGGTAGACCACATGGGCTAATATGTGATATTTTGATTATAATATATAAAATTAAATTTTTAAATATCTTTTTAATCACTTATCAGTCATCCACAGTGTTGTTTTTAATAGTTTTAGGAAAATAAATGCAAATGTACAAACAATGTTTTCTAGTTTGGTTAATTAAAAAATAAAACAACGAAAGTAAAAGTCAAGAAGTTTAGTAATTATTAAAAATTTAAATTAAAAACCTTCATCTTTCAAATTACATAGAATATAATATATTTTGTAAATTCTACTATAGTTAAAACCTGCAAATTACAATGAAATGGTGGGTAAATAATACCGACCTAAACTGATATTGATCCGTATGAGTGGTTTTTAATTAGTATATATTATATTGAGTATTGTATAATTGTATTGTTTCCGATACTTTGTACCTACAGACCACCTATTATTTTATTGAATAGTATAGATACGATATTGAGTACTGTTGAATTGAGTATTATCGAAATAATTTAAAAAAAAATTGAACTTGAAGATCTGTTTTGAGTTGAACTCATTGAAATAATAATGACTCTATTGTTTCATTTAATATAAATGTGGCCAACAGGCAACAATTAAATTATTCCAGCAACGGCCGACGAGTAAATTTGAAAGTTATTTTGCATTTAATCATAAATTTATGTAACATAGTAAATTATTATGTATTTTTTTGTTTTTGTTTTACTGTTTCTATAATCTATTAATCTATACTTATCGTTATGTAACTTAATTTACGTTTTTTTATCAATTTATTGACCCAAACGGTGACCATTTTACATTTCGGAAACATGTGGGTATACCAAGGTAGTTACGAGAATTTACACATTCAATATTTCAATTTAGAAGTACTAACTATTATGGTACCGAAAAAATCGTACAAAATTCGAATTTTTATATTTTGTTATGTTATAGAGAGTAGAATCATACGCCATACTGCAATGCCGTAAAAGAAACTGTAATATAGGTATCTACTTGAATAAAATAAAACTTGAAATATTTATTGCATACCTATTTATATTATTAATTTCATAATATGATTAACTTAAAAGTAAACAATTTAAAATAGAATTGGCAATGGTGAAAAATAACATGATAATATTATAAATTGAAATATGAGCCACTCGGGGGCAAAAATAAACTATTATAAATGGATTTCTTTAATGCATTCAAATAGTAGTCAGTTAAATTGCATATAATATACACTGTGGATATAATGATGATAATATTGGAAAAAATAATATGTTAAAAACCTAATTAAAATACACAGTTTTAACAATATTATTAATTATTTTGCGTTACGTACCTAACTACTATTATTTATACTATTTTATACTTTACAACAGAGTTTCTGTTTATTGTAAAACAAATATTTTGGTTTAACGTTTCAACAGTCATAATATTATATTAGTATTTAAGATATATAAAATTAATAAACTCACGTAAATTTTCGCAAGTCGGTACAAATTATCCAAAATGTTAGCATTGCGTTCGTGAATAAATAATTTTATAACATTTTTATTGGTTACTTTGCCCAAGAATTTTTTTTGAGCTTGTAAAATAATTTCCTTTGATTTGAATCCTTCCGTCATTCCTAAATTCAGTGCACACAATTGGTAAATTAGTTTAGCACGGTGACTATGTATTAAAATATTATAATTTATTTAACTCACCCACTTATGATGAAAAACGTTCCAACGATGAAATGTCTGTTATGTCTTTATTGCGATGACCTGGAATCTAGAAATAATTATAATATATATTACAAACATTGATTGATTGATTGATGTATAATTATTATAAATCAATTATTATTTATTTCCATTACAATTTTGGTATCATAATATTATATACGTCATACTATTTGTTATACTATAACATAATATAATATGTATGTTAAATGCGTAACTAAATTGGGTATCTTAATCATTTTAGATAAACCTAATCAAGGGAAGATGGGTCATGGGTACCTAACTATATATATAATATGTATTATGTATTTACTATTTAATATTTATGTACTTACAATAACATTTATCTGATACGATATAAAATGATCAAGTTTGAGTTTAATGTACAAGTGTACACCGCAATAAAATAAATAATAATACATATTTATTACACTGATGTAGGTATGTACATTTTGTAAATACAATTTGTTTGATGGTATAATATACGATGTAGGTACATAGTACCCCCAACCTATGGTAATTACCATAATATTATAGCCTATGCAGGCTAATGTCGAAATGTCGAAATGCCGAACACCATTTACCTATAATATTTGTATTGACTAATGACTATAGGTACATTGCCTACCATTCATTTGAACTTGATGTGTAATAAATAATTTTCATATTTTTATATTGTGCTCATATTATGTTTATCGATAATTTATAAATGTATACCTATTTAATATTATAATACAAAATCATTTCAAAACTAAGTTCCTATATTATATTCTTCTTTTATTAGAGACAATCACGAGATAAAATTCACTTGTTGGAAACTACTTAAATTCACATATTATATGCTATTCACTAATTATTAGTATTAATATGTTTTCAAAGAATGCATATTATACATTATAGATACGTGTATCATAATTGTATATTGTTTTTAATTGACATCACCGGGTATTCTTTCAAGGTCTACTTCATTTAGCGTCATTGAAATTAATAAATAATAATATTCGAATAACTTATATAATATTATTAAGTAGTCAATAATATTTGTTTAAAAATGTATACCTACCTACCGCTATAATAACCTATATGCATTATTATGAGAATCGTGTTTTTAAATTACAGTTTTTTGCCTCCTATAATTATTTAATGTAAATTATTGCTATTTTATTATAATTATCGTTATTTTATACTTTTTACGATCAGGAGAATCAGGTCAATGCTTCGCAATTGATGCATATTTTATTTGTTAACATTTGCGTTCCACGGTACAGTAATAACTAATATAATATATAATAGTAGTCTAGTCATACATATGTATAATAATATAACTACGTTAAAAATAGTAACAAGTTTTTTTCTTTGTTTTTCTATTGATGCCTTATTATAGTCTTTTAGACACTATTACACCAAGACTCTATAGTGTCTCACGATATTGTTTTGTATTTGATATTTTTTTTTGCATTACGTCGGGTACACGTCTTTTACACCCATAATTTATAATATAAAATAATTTGGGGTACCGTTATTTTATGTTTATTTAAAAATAATATTTTAATAAATATAATAACCAATAGCTAATAGTTAAAAGATAATATAATATAATAATTATTGCCTACTGGTACATATATACTAAATAAAATATACCTATAATATATATATAAATATATTTATATTCATATATAGGAAATGTAAACTTTATGTTTTATTAAAATATAGGCATGTTCAAACTTCAGTGATTGTAATGTTGTTGGGTATAAATCATCATATAATAGGTGTCGTGCAAATCTACGGTACTTACTTCGTACTATATGAAAATATTATTCTTGCATAGGTATTAAAACAATATTCTTAATATTATATGATTATATTTTATTATTTTTGTATTATTTATATGTACCTACTTAATTTTTTTGGTGTCGATCGGATGGGTATTATGGGTATTTTATATTGTATATTTTTTCCATTCATTTTAGTCGTACCTATACTCGTATAAATTGTTGCATAAAATTTTTATTTTATACCGTTATCTAAAATGCTAACGATTAACATTCAACCAATCTACCATAAAAAAATCCGAATCTGTTGGTAGTTGTTACAATATTTCCACAGATTACATGTTAAATATTATTTTTAATAGAGATTTTCATTTATTAACAATATGCGCATATTATTATTACCAATATAATTATAATATCATAAGCAATACATAATAATACCTATACCTAGTATACCTATATATGAGTATACATTTTTATTATGTTTTCATAAAACGTTTGTACTTACCAGTAAAATTGTTTGCCTCTCAATAATTTATTATTGCAGTTTATGGACATAGTATCCAACTCGGCGCCAATCGTGATAGATATCTGGAGCTTTGATATAATATCGTCTATATGCACGCCGTATGCGATTCAATCATAGTACGCACTATGTACCTAAATTCGCGATATATTATGGAGAACCGCCTTTTTAATTTTACTATACTAGTATTAAAAACCGGGCCCTCAAAAAGTAAAATTAAAATATTTCAAATTTGGGGTTTAATATCTCGGTAAAATGTTGGCAAAAAAAAAAATTTTATTCGCTATGTGAACTGTTCACGTGCGTATATAGTGGCGGTTGACGGTTTGGTACCGATACAGGAACTAGACTAAAACCGTTTGGTGGACGAGAGACGGAAACGAAACAGCTGCCTCCTTGATAGTCGTATACGCCGCGGACGACGATGACGACGACGGTTATTGTAATAATGACTGCTGTGTATAATGGGGAAAAAAAAATCATCGGATATTGCAGCTGCTTGCGCCTTTGCACGCATGCGATGACGATAATATAAATATATAATAATATGATGATGAACTCATATTATTGGTAGGTAGCCGGTACATTAGTTATACATTTAAACATAATATAATATGAAAAAATATTTAAGAGCAAATAATAATTTCTATCGTAGCGAGATTATAAAGTGTCAAAAGGATTGTCTACAGTATTTGTCTATATTCAATAAACTAAACGAATAACGCTGGCCGTAACTACATTTATGTAGGTACCTATATATAGGTATTACCGAGGGTATTACTGTATTAGCTTACAAGAGCTAGGAAATAAAGTATAAACCACATTACCTACTCATGTGTATACCTAGTTATATATATATATAGGTACCATATTGTTGACTTTTGAACATAATAATTGTTTTTATTACTTATATTAATTATTTAACTATATTAAAGAGTCATAAAATATACACTAACTATACCAGAAAAATAATCTTCAGTACCTACCTGGCGTAGTACCTATAAAATGCGTATAATATTACACACCTGTCGGACTCGGCTGTCGCCTGTCACCTGCTATATGGTTCATTTATGGATATAACCTTAAAATTTATTTTCTATTGTTAATTGTTATCTTAATTGTATATAAGGACAAAGGACCCATAACATAACTACTGAACATATTTTGTACAGATTTGTAGTACGAAGTGTTTGGTGTGTATTGCGTATAATAATAATTGTTAGTACATTAATTGTTCAAACTACATTTATTATTTATAAAACACCTATTGAAATCTTGTATAATAGGTATTTAAGCAATAAGAAAATTAAATTAAAATTTTTTTTTTCAAAAAACCCGTTGAAAAATTAGTAGTCAGTAGTCAGTAGCCTAATACCTATTATTATTTAGATAGGTACTTTATACTAATTTGAAAAGTACAACGGGTAATATTATATAAATATTATGTTCGGTTACCAGTTTTAGTTTTTAACTGCTACATAGATATAAAATAACAACTTTAATTTTAACAACAGTAAAAATAACGAATATATAAAATATAGGTATTCAGGTTTTGTTTTAAACATCTCGTAAATTCTTCATATATTTTGAATTTTGACTAATTGAACAATAATATAGCCATATAGGTACCCTTAACATTAAATTGTTGACACTTATTTTATAATTAAATGACATGTTATAACAATAGTTAGTATATAGGTAGGTAGGTACCTACATAATATATTATACAATATTTGAAACATTTAAATAATCCTTTCTGGGTTAAAAAGTTTATATTTACTAATTAGTTTTAAAATATGTACTTTCCTATGTATTTTCATTGTTTTTATTTAGATTTACTTTAGAGACTTACAAAAATATAGGTACTGTGACTCACTGAAAAAATTCTTGTGGAGGCCAGATGAGTATTGAATATTTTTACAATATATTGCACAAATATTATGGTAAGTATAACGTATAAAGGTTAGGTATAAACTTATAAAGCTAAATTAAAAAAACATATGTATTTAAAAAATTAAAATTCTAAACTAAGATTAACTAAGAAGTAAGTACCTAGGTAAACTACCTACCTATTAAACTAAAAATAAAAATTAGGACAATAAAAATACATTTTAAAGACGATTTTTTTAACATTCTTATAGGTAGCCTATATAGGTACCTATAAAATAGTAGGCAAGGCATCCCTAATTTATCTATTTTTCTATACATATTACTTGTAGGTACATAATATAATACGTAATAATAATAATAATAATAATAAAATAAATTTTTTTTTTTTAAATCATATTTACTATCAAACTATAATTATTGTCGATATAATATTATACGTACATCCTTTAGGACATGCATCATCGTTTCCGCCAAAATGAAAAAAGGTTTGGTTTTCATTTCCGCCCAACTATTTTTTTTTTCAAAATTTTATCGTTTGATATAATATGAGAAGTGAGAACCAGTAAGTAGTCACAATTTTGGTTAAATGCTCCTATTGTTTTATGGTATTCTGAAAATTATATTTCCGAAAATAGTACGTTTTCACAATTCCGCCCACAGACCATGTTGTGATCCAATTTCAGTAATACTGTTTATGCAGAACAACAAATAAT